TCGGGGCTGCAGACCCCGGCCCTCTCGGCTGTCTGCGCCCGCTACCGTCAGCGGCCTTTCCCCGGCGGCTGGGCGGCGTAACGCGCCGCGGGAGGGTGGGGGTAGCGGCTTTCCCACGAGGTGGCAGCACAGCCGAGCAGTTGGGTGGCTGGTCCCTCGGAGGTGGGCACCTTCTAAGCATCCCCCTTCCTTCGCGGGGACAGGCTTGGGTTCCGGGCGAGCGAACTCTTCTTGTTTTCATGTCCCTGTCTGGGTTTGTTTGCTTTTTATTCATTTTTAACAAAATAACAGGAATTTTTTTTTTTTTTTTACACGTTGTTACTTCAGACATCAGGAAGTCTGTAGGAAGGGTAGATGTCCTTCAGAAATTATCCTAGAGGAATGGAGGTGTGTGAGATTTTGGCACTTCGACCACAGGGCACCGGTGCCACTGAGGCTCCTGCAGATGCCTTAGCTTTTCCACATGCTTTGTTTTTTCTCTCAGACCAAGAGTTCCAGCTGGAGCGCAAGGCCTCATAAATAGCCAAAGCTTCCGTGAGGGACCGGGAGGCTGATTGACTGCTGACAGACTGAGATAAGAAACTGCTTGTGCTTAAGTGGAACTAGATAGAAGAATCAATGCGTAACTAAAGGGATTTGTCCTTGCAAGTTGTAAGGAAAACAATGTTTTTCCAGTATGAACCAAATACTTGGCATGCAGGGGCTTGCAAGGCTACTTGTACCTAAGCAACTGTATCTGTAACACCCTGCAAAGACCAAGACTGCCACGGTAAAGACATCAGAACAGCATCTTTGGGTATGGATGTAGTAGAGCTGGGACAAATGAGGAAAAAGTAATTTGAGGCAGGTTGCTTCTTTGAGGGGAACTTGGGTAGATACAGGGAGGTACAAGGGCAGTGAAAAGGTTATTCCAGATATGGGGGAGAAATGGGGGAAGAAAGATTAAGATCTGTTAAAGAATGAAGGGGACTTCTGCTCCAACAATATGTGTGCAGATGCCCACAGTAATGAAGCTGACCTGCATGTCCAAGCCCACCACGACATCAAACAGCCACTTTGGATAACCCACTGGACTGTCCACCAGGTTCATGTCCAGAAGACTTGGGGTAGGAGAATATAGCAGCAGAGAAATGCACCCTAGTACTATGGGGTATGGAGGAGAAAGGATGATAAAATTGAAAGTATGTAATTGATAAGATTTGTGATAATAACTTTGTAATAGCTGTGTAATAGAGTGCGAAATTGTATCATTGCAAATTAGTAACACTGGTGTGTCTGTTAGTTAATTAGAATATTAGTTGATTTATTAGTTTTTAATGTTTTACTTAATAAAAATTGTAGTCTCCCAAATCAGTTATGTCTCAAGCTTGCAGACCAAAAGGGTAGAGTTGGACTCCTTAAATAAGAGTGACTTCCATCCAAAAGAGGAGGTGGTATATTAAGGAACCATTTCAACATATTCCCACTAGCAACTGCTGAAGAGACCTGTTTTTCCCAGAATTTGTCAGGGAGCATTTCCCAGGATCTGGTGAGTATGGATGCTGCTAACAGCTGGAAAAAGGAGATTGCGAAGGCCGCAAAGTAGGCAGTGCTTGGACCAAGAGGAGTTCTTGAAAGAAACAAGGGAGGGTGTAAAAGCTAATACAGAACGTAAGAGCAGCAAGAATTAACATGGTACTTGGCGGTGAGCAGAGGAATGTAGCAGAATATGCACTTGGCCAAGAAAGAGACCAAAACACTGATGTTCAGAAAAACCATGCACAGGTGGGAAAAACAGAATGGTGCAGGAGGTGGACAGGAAAACAACAGAGGAAAGATGGGAAGAAAAAAGCACAAAGGTGAATATAGGGTGGAGTAATGTGAAGGGGTATTGAAAGTTTGGTCATTCATACTTAAGCAACCAAGAAACTTGAAATCACAAATTGAAATGTTTTTTTTTCAAAGGAAATGTTAAAATTAAGTAAATTTGACATCTTGACACCTAGTGTTTTGTTTGAGGTAGGACAAGTCCAACGTTTTCTCTCCTTCAAAATGTGAGGGGTAGAACGTTTTGACTCAGTGTGTCATGTCGCAGGAAAGGCATGCTCTCTTCAGCCTTTTCCCTTACAGAGTGGTCCTTTCGGAGTGGTGGGTCTCTTGAGTGTGGGCAGTCACACTTCTGAGCTGTGTTAAGGTCCAGGTAGATAAAATGCCAGATCTTTTAGTGCTCAGCTTGAGCTGTCTTAGTGAAGCCTCATGACTCTGACGTTGGACTTATGTTAGGTTTATTTTGGTGTGACACAGTAGTCAGCCAGAATACAATTTCATTTGCATTAGCATAGAGCTAGAATAACAGTGATATATTATGTTGTTATTCTGGTTTTCCACTGGTGTAACTGAGATCTGAATTTGGCCCTCTTGTTGGAAATTAGTAAGGATAATGAAAAAAAATCAACTAATGGAAAATATTTAAAAAATAAGTAGAGTATTAAACAAGAGGACAATAAAAGAGCTTTTCCATTGATCTCAGGACAAGTTCAGTTCCACTCCAGCACAAAGCTGCATTTAGAGCAATCACATACAAGCCTGTTAGTGTTTGGGATGTTACAGCTGCTTTTGAAGGTTTCTTTTTCATTTCCAGTTTATGGAATGTGCCACAACTGGGATCAAAGCAATTACTCATCGGTTCTCCAGTAGCTTTTGAAGAAATTCAGACATTAAACAGGCCTAGTATAGCAGGCTTCAGAACGTTTTTTTGCCCTGCTGTGGTGCCTACACCACTACTGCAGCAGTGATAAAGGAACAAATGGTAAATAAACATGGACACAGGGCAGAAATCAGTTGCACGGGAAGTTGCCTATTTGGGCAGAGCTGATGGGATGTTTTTTATCTTGCCATAAACCTGAAGTTTGCCAGTGGAGAAATCTTAATATCTTAATGCACCTTCCTTAGCTTTCAGATGCTTTGCAGCCATTCTTTCACTAGGCTGTGAATTTCCTATTCTATAAACTGATAGTCATCAGGCACTAAAGTAATTTCAATTTCTTCCTCTGTTCTTTAATTCATGCAGTAGAAATAGGTGGAAAGGTGCCATTGTTCCCTACTGAAGGAAGAACTTGGGCTTTTTTTTTTTTTTTTTTTCAGTCAGGACAGTGCTTCACACCCTACCGATAAATACTAACGTTGGTGATACAAAATCCTCATACCAGTGAGGGCCCTAGAGAATGCTCAGTGGAGAGCAGAACAGCATACTTTGCTTATGTTCTTACACCAGACTAAATCAGATTCCTTTGATGGAGTGAAGCAGAGTTGCATAAATTGTTAGAGATAGGAATCCAGTAGTTTGTGCTTCATTTCATTTACAGAAAAGTCCCATGAGAAGTATGGAGAACCGCCAAGCCTGGTGATTTTAACCACTTCATTTTCACTTGTTTTCTGCTTGGGTAATTTCATCTGAATGTTGATAGCAAAGCATAAGCTTTACAGAACTGTATGGACTCTTGGCAAACAGACTGTTGTTTCTGGTTGCTTTCGTTTTCAGAACAATAGCAGGAGCGATGCGTTCACAACCAGCTGCCAGCGGGGACTGTAGGTAGCTAGGCAGTTGAGATGTCAATTCCTTTTGGCTCTTCCTCAGTCTCTAGGAAATAATGAACTGCTTCAGTCTGTGTAGTCAAATAAACATGTTAGTACTGAATGTATTTAATTGAACAATCTTTCCAATTGTTTGTTTCACCAACATGAAAACTTACTAAAGGTGCAAGAGGCTAGATTGTCCCAGGTGCTGTCGACCCTTACAGGCCATTAGAAAAACATATACCTTGTTCTGAAAGGAGCAAGGGCTATTCCCACTTTTCAGGGCTTACGTCTTGCAGCAACAGCTTGAATTTGGTGGCTGTAAGAGTAATTTCTCAGTGTGTTTCAATACAGGAACTTCCTGCAGCAGACCAGATTGCTTTGTGTTAGCAATCTTAGGTGAATGTGAACCACACGTTTCATTCTCTTCATATTCCAAATGCTGAATTCAGGCTATTATATTAGTTCAGTTGTTTCTCGTTACACTGATGACTATAAAGTCTAGAGCAGAGCAGTAAGATGGTTTTCAAAGTTACATTTTATTAGGAAGTTACAATAATTTCAGAACAAAACCTTACACACAAGCACATAAAACCTTAAAAATTAACAAGTTCTGTGAATTCAGTTTCCTACTAACATAAATGCCGGGCATCTGTGCTTGGGTAAAGTGTACGTACATTCTCTGTGAGTGTACAAACTGATTTATTAAAAAAAAAAACAAAACAAGACTTGTATGTCAGAAAACATATGGCTTCAAAGGGTTTCATTTCATACAGTTCAAAATGTCAGCAGCTTACACTGAATTATACTGGAACATTAAAAGTGAGTTTGTTATTGGCAAGGACGACAAATATATTTGTTAGAGTAAAAGAATACAAAACCACAAAAATTGCCAGCAGAGTGTTAGAGTTTCCCAGAGAGATTTGTCTCATGAATAATTGCACTTAACCTGTAGGCTATTACTAGTAGCTAATACTATTTTCTTTATTATTTCAGAATATTTATAGTTTCCTTAACAAAAATCTGTTCTGTACCCAACACAAAACATTCACTGAATGCAGATTTAACATAACACAATATTGGGATTTTAATTGTGCACTTTTACTTTCCTCTTTTTACTATATACTAGAAGGTGTTTTTTTTTTTTAAAAAAAAAGCATTAAAATGAATGATCTGTGCAAAACAGGAAGCCTTTATATAATAACTGATACCTCATGCAAAAGAGACAAAATACAAAAAATCCCCCAAACAACAGTCTAAGAAGCCCTGAGTCAATAATTTCATTGCAGAGGCGAGGAACGTGAGCGCTCTCAGTTTCTTCCTATACATCGGTGCATATTCAAACCAGTCCAGTATTTATTTAAAATACGTTTTAAAGTAGGCAGTTTGTGCAGTTTCTCACATACAAATCTTCTACGCACATCATTCCTTTCAGCAGACTGTATTTAATACTCAATTTCGTTTAAGCTGTCAGGATAGCCTGATGAGAATTGAATTTCTTCCACTTCTAGAATACAAAGAAGGGGGAAATATTGTAATTATTTGTATTTTTATCATACATTAGAATGCATGAAACAGAATGTAATTACCATGCTGGATTTAAACAGGACTGCTGCACAGTTTTTAAAAAGTGTTAGAGCACCTTTACTAGTCCAGATTCTGAGGATGCTCTCACATCTTACTAGAAAACAAAAATTCTGCACTAACGCAGTGGCGTTATACTAAATTCAGATCCATTCAGTGGGGATTCAAGGGAAGAAGTATCTCCTGTCTAATTAGAGAAAACACTGTGAATTGCTAGGTGTCTCCTAAGAGGAACAAAGTATGTTTAAGCTTACCTAAACAGGGTCCTGCCTGGAACAGAATATCATCAATAGCAGTGTCACTTCTCATTGAAACGCCGCGGATCGCCTCAAAAATAATCTGAAAAGGTAAGACACAGCTTTGCATGAATCCCACGGGAGGAAGAGCTAAAAAAAAAAATACCCGTGCAGTCCATTTAAGGATCTATTGTGTCCTGACAGCCTGTGTCTTGGAAAGAAACTTCTACCCTCCATCAGTGGGCTGATGGGTCCTGGTCAGAGAATTCGGGTGTGTGCCATGCCGAAGGAAGCAAATTTGTTCTCACGGTCTGTTTGCTGTGTGTTACAGACCACTGATAAATTTTCTCCAGTGTTGTGGCACTTCTGTTTTGCTTTTCAGCCCAAGTGTGTCACTGTGTGTTGCCCTTATGCAAGGAAGACTTGAGGGGGGGAAAAAAAGCATTACAATATTATGTTGCGGTCTTACTGGTGAAGCTAAGCTTGCTGTTCAGTAAAGCGTTTCTTTTTTTTTTTCTTTCCCCCCTAATTAATTTCCAGGCTCTTAAGGGAAAGTGATTAAAAAAACCTCCACACCATCTTTGGTTAGTGATCAGTGCGGTTTTGTGCCCAAGCTGTTTCAGTCAATAGCAATTCCAGCTTCCTCTTTGACAGCGAAACAGAAGCAGGCTTTGTCTCTGGCAATAGATGGCACTGTTGAAACCAAAGGCAGAGCTCTGGCTTTGCATCATCCCTTGACTTTGGTGCCACCTCAGAAAGGCCACCCTGCAAGAAGGAGCCATTTTCTCACAGCTTAGCGGTTCCGTCAAATCTAGACGGGCTTTAGACAGCTGAAGGAAAAGAAATTGCACAAGCAATCTGAATAAAAACTACCAAAACTGACAAGAAATGATGGGAAAACAGCATTTAAATACCTTAAAAAAACCAATTCTGAATTAAGGAACTACCTTCATATACAACCCAGAACTTGCATTCTAGCATGCAGTTCAGTTCAATATTCCATTTTGACTGGTTTTTGTTACCTGGTAGTTTCTATCACTTTCATATTCTATCAGTCCCCTTAGCCATGAGATGCTTTGTTCCCCTGTCCTCCTCCACAAAGGAATCTCTTCGTCATCACCTTCCTTTTTCAGATAAACACTTAATAATCCAGTCCCAGCTCCATACATGTGATAGAAAAATGTCAAGCACTGTTTTCCAGAGGTTCCCCTTAGTGATCTTGAAACGAGGTACGCTCTCTGTCCATAGACCATGTCGGATGCCTCTATGTACATGTAGTATCCTTAAAAAGACATACAAGCAAATATTAGCAAGGTTGAATACATTCTCTCAGCATGTTCATTATGATCAACACGCTCATTATATAAAAAAACTGATCAAAACTGTTTTGATGAAGATTTTTATGCCCTAGACAATTATATTTGTGAACTGTAATATTTGTCATATTGTAGTAATTGTCTTAGTGTAATAATGTTAATATTCGTGAATGCCAATGTAAGAACACTTAAAATCTTCTTTATATCTGATGAAATACATAGCAACAGAAAGTAATACAAAGTAAGAAGAATCATAGCTGTTCTTAAACCAGGAATGCACTCTTGACAGTGGTCAATTAATTGGAATTCAGAGGCAGCTGCATGTACATCTGAGGGGTACAGTTTAGGCAATGTTTGGAGCTGATGCTATTAACAAAGCAAATTAATTTAAATACCTCTTTTAAATCATATGACATCAATAATATTTTTCTCTCTGTGATCAAGATGTGAAGACACAAGTGGGGAAAACTAGACTCTCTAGAATCCATGAATGAATGAAAGATTGTCATAAACTCTGATCTGTGGAAAAATTAGTCATTAATTGGTAGCAGGCAAATTAATTCCCACCCTTTCCCACTCCCCCCAATCCATCATTCACTTATTTTCAGTTGGAGCAAATGGAGGTGTGTCAGAAGACTGAGGAGCATCCCCACATCCCATCTGCCGCATACGGCAGTGGTGCTGTGCCTTGAGACGTACACTCCGCCAGCAGGCGGCGGGCTCAGATTTTGCAGCAGCTCTTCACGCAGTCCCACTGCTCCCTTTTTGTGCTGTTGGAGAAAACAAGCTGCCCTTCTGCCACCACAAGTCCTGGCGGTGAGATTGCCCTCGGGGGCAGAGGGGATTCCTGAGGATCAGTGAGGCAGGAGAGAAGCTGAGAGTGGCAAAAGCAGCCGGTGGATGCTCGGGGTGTCTCTCATGATACCCAAGAGTCCTATTAGCTACACAAACCCATGGTGAAGACATCCCCTCTAACCCGGGTTGCATTTTGGTGGCAAGCAGCAGCAGACAGGGTGAAAAGGAAGTTTATCTACAGCTCTAGGTCTGTAAAGAAAAGATAATTTTGTAAAGTGTGTTGGAGAATTCCCACAGCTATTTATACCAAACCTAGTGCAAGTCATTGCGAGGGTTTTGATGTTCACTATGCTTAAAAGTTCCTTGAGTTAAAAATCAAAACCTACAGCTCATACTACAGAGTAATAAAATAACTTGCCTTTAGTTCTAAGGCCTGAATCATTATAAACTTGTTGGAAAGACTAGATCAGCTCTTGGGTTTGTGAATTCAAATCCGTGTATTTCTCAGCACATCTTGCTGCGAAGAGATGTGTGAAATAAGGAATAAACATTGTTGTCACAGGCCAGGCTTAAAAGATTCTCTTGCTTCACCAATTCTAAAGTCGATCTATCAGCCTCAGATCTCAGAATATGTAGTGATCTACATAAACTGAAAATAGGTCTAAAGTCAGTTTCTGCATTAGAAATCAAGAAAATTGTGCTAACAGCCCATTCCTTTTCTTGAGCAACAAACTCTTAAGGGTTGCTCCTACTATAAGGAGAGGGTTGTTGTCTTTGAAAACACAAGAGCTGGGATATAGAATACCTCAGAGAGGAAGAATAAAATATATTATCTAGCAAATAACCAGGGGAAAAAAAGCATCAAACCTCAAAGCTGAATCCTTTTACAGAATTGAGTTTGGTTACCTACCAAAAAACCCAGCAACTTTACTCTGACGTAGTCCTTTTGGATAATATTTTGCAGAAAAAGAAGGTTCTGCCAGACAATACAGAGATGGCCTACAGATGCCTCTCCAAGAGGCTCACCCACGTTTCAAAATAAAAATTCTCAAATGGACTTTAAAAACCATTAGGAAAAAAAATCTCACTTATTTTAAAGCTGGTGATTACATGTCTAGTTGATGCAGAAGAACTGGACAGCACGGGTAACAAAGACTTACAGACAGTATGCCATCTAATTCACTCTAATGCCATCTAATTTTTGAATGGAAAGGGGACAAGAATTTCAATATTCCCTTTTGAAAGTTATTCCACAGTACAAAGGTATCATTATTGGAAAAATGTTCTTGATTTGTAGATAGCCTACATTTTCCACTTAGATAACTTAGCCAACAGATCTGGTCAAAATATGGTCAGATTTGTAAGTATTGTTTCTCATTTTTATTCCATAACACATAAAAGCTTTATTAAGCTTTTTATTAAACTTATAAGAGCTTTTTTAAGCTTTAAAACTTATCTTTGAAGGCTATTCATATTTCTACCCAGAATCAGTACTCTTTAGGGTTAACAATGGAAGAACACCATTTCTTGGTGATGAAATTTCAAGCCAACGAGAACATTCCTATCTGCATTCTCAATTCCACATACAGGATTTTGGCCATACAGTCCCCCACACCATGAATTTACATCCCTCTAGTCAATTTCCATACCTTGCTCAGGATGGAGCTATTACAGAAATTTTACCAGGAGGTGGGAAAGGGAGATTTTGCTAAACATGAGCGAAGCCATCATTTTAGATAAAGAAATCAGAAACAAGACAAAACATTTGTTATTTTATTAACTAGAAGCATTTGTTATTTTGTGGTTTATATATATATATACACACATATATAACTGGAAACAAAAGAGTTTTCCAGTATAACTTCAATTAAGTTTGCATAGAGACTTCATATGCACAGCTGAAATAACTATGCTTGACAATGCTTAGCGTGGTTTACACTCAATCACAGTTGACAGGATAATAATAGCTTTTGGTGAGCCTTTTGAGCAGGCCAACTGCTTTTGTAATCCAGCGAAAATTTTTAACAGACTAGATAGATGGCTGCTGTGAATAAGCCAGCTGGTCTGCAACTGACTTCATAACTTTGTTGAATGAATGTTAACCACTGTGAAGGAGGGCAAATCCAAAGGCCTCCAAAAGCCTTTTTAAACCTATGTAAGCCTTAAAGTTCACAAGCCTTAGGGCAGTTTCATCCATTACACTGAAGTCAGTGGAGTTGCTACTGAGGACCTCTTCTGCAGGAACACGAGCACCCAACGCAGTGATGCAGTTTATAATTTCCAAAAGCCACCAGGTGCTGCCCTGGTGTGGGGGCAATTCTGATGCAGTTTTTTGTGTGCCTGCTCATGCTAATGGGGGCCCCACTTGCCTGAACACTTCAAATTACACAAGTGAGGTTATGGAGCAGATTTTCAAGACAAAGGGTCTGTGGGACCTCTTTTATTATACATGTTTTCTTCTAAGTTTGAAGAGGAAGGTGTTCATGCAGAAAAGCTCCCAATCACTTGTTTGCCTTTTCGTTTCAGGGAATATTCACGTAAGCAAGGGGTCTGGAAGCAGGCTTTTCTGTGGGGACTGGTGAGTCAGCCTTTCATTTTTTTCTCCCAAAGGAAAGGGCTAATTTAGGACATGAAGACCAAATCACCCACTTGGTCTGCAGATAATTCAGATTAAACATCACATTCTCAAAACCATCCTAAGAAACGTGTTTACTTCATTTGATTAATAACTATTCTGAACAGAATGGTAAAAACTTTCTCTGTGTTCTACATTATAATTTCAACATATTTTTTATTAACTATCTATTTCTGTTCTGAAAGTTCAATGCGGAGCTTAACTCACCTACCCCAGTAGTGTGGTCTCCTTTCGGTCCGGTATAAGAAGTGGGAGTTGGACCCCTCCTCCTGTGCCAACTCCCACGACCTCTCTTCTTCTGGGTAAACACACATTCATCTTTTTCAAAAGTACACTCTCCAGGACTGGGCAGCAATACATCTATAAGGAGACAACATTGTTTAAAACTGGAAATACATTTGATATATGGAGAGATTACACAAGCAATGTATTGCATTCACTCACCTGCTGAAATCACTTATGTTTACCTAGCAATACCTGCAGTTGTCACAGACTTATAAAAGCTAGCTTCAAACTAATGTATTAAATTTAATTTCATTTTCTTCACAGCTTTGGGGAATCTCTGCTCTAGTCTGACTCACTAACGTGTACCAATATTCTTTAAAACATCTTGTACAGTTTAGTATCTCATCATAGCTCTTAATCTGCAATGGGCTCTACAAGTGTAATTTTCTTCACTACTGTGGCACCCCAAGCAGTTTAATGAGATCCAGCATGTATAACATGCATATGAAATGAGTCTTGTCAAAGATTGGAGTTTCTGTGATCTGAAATCAAATAACACATTCAGCTCTCTTTTGTTCCCTTGGCACCAGATTCTAACACTGCGTACAGCAGACCACAGAGCTGCAATTACTAGAGTATTTTCATTACTGCAATTCTATTAGATGATGCAGAAGAGAGAAAGCTGACAATTCAGGTGCTCACCAGGAAGCTTCTGTTGGGTCTTCTGCTATAATCTGAATTTGTAGTTCAGGAGTAGACACTGAGCTGCTTTCACTTTTTGGAAAGGAGGAAGCCTTGATGCCTCACATACTCTGGGGTATTTTGGGGGCATTTTTTTGCTGCCATCAGTGACAAGTCCCCTTATGACTACACACCCAAGTACCAGTTCTGCACCTTCAATTCCTTTTCAGATTACTTAGAACAACAGAAAGGCAAAACAGACAACTGTCAGAAATACATTAGAGAAATGGCATCTTGTTTTATACATGTGACTTCTTTCTGTTCTATAATGGCTAGCTGCCTGAATGCATGAAATCCAATCAAAAGAGGTCATTAAAAGGTTCTTATTACATGGGCATATAAATGGCATGGTAGATCAGCCTCATCACCATTTCAAAGGCATGGCTTTATTCCGAAGAAGAAAGGGATTATAGATTGTGCCTGTCTCATGAGAATGGTTTCCAAATTAGGATACAATCGTTGCATTGTCAAACCTCAAAGAGCCCCAGAAGAGGGAGTTTGGGTGAATTCATGCCTGTGCATGTCAGAGGGTAAAGTCTCATCCCAAACCATTCAGTTCTTCCCACTATAGGAGGGAGAGTTAGACTCATCTGTCTCCATTAGGGAACTGCAGCTCAGATAAGGGACTGTATCTTGGCCTTGCACAACTGTACTTCTGGACTAAAAGGAGCAATGCTGTGTTTTGAAAATATTGCTTTTGGGTCCGTTCCAGGTTTCCTAAAAGCCATTTGAAAACTACTTTCCCCTCAGTTGGACTGTCGGTTTTTTTAAATGGTAATGCCTCAAAAGGAATGCTTGCCTATATACAACTGCGCTGGAGTCAGTGAAGATAATTAGGAGTTAACTGGTACCCCTGTGAACAAAAAATGGTCCTTGGTGTGTGTATGTTACTGCACAAATAGGATTTATGCAATCCTTATTGGAAAAAGGAAAGAAAAGGAAAGAAAAGAGAAGAGAAGAGAAGAGAAGAGAAGAGAAGAGAAGAGAAGAGAAGAGAAGAGAAGAGAAGAGAAGAGAAGAGAAGAGAAGAGATGCCTCAAAAGGAATGCTTGCCTATATACAACTGCGCTGGAGTCAGTGAAGATAATTAGGAGTTAACTGGTACCCCTGTGAACAAAAAATGGTCCTTGGTGTGTGTATGTTACTGCACAAATAGGATTTATGCAATCCTTATTGGAAAAAGGAAAGAAAAGAGAAGAGAAGAGAAGAGAAGAGAAGAGAAGAGAAGAGAAGAGAAACAAAACCACAATGGGATGCAGGCAGCTGTAGGATAGGCTTGGAAAATGAAGGTATGCGATGAACTTGTACCAAAAAAGTTGGCAGCTGTTAGATGACAAATATATGGGGTCTTACCAGCAGCTTGGCAGCTTCCTAGGCTCAATGATACATCATCCAGTGCCACAAGTCCACAGTCCCAGAAGCTTTTACACCAGCTGACAAAGACAACCTGCAATACATGAAGAAAGTTTCAAGTATCTAACAAAAGCTGGTGTTATGAGGAGTCTGAAATTTTAGATTTTTCCAAATGCGTAAATAATTTTGAAATCTACAGGACAGAAATGATGAATCCACTTTGTTCTGGCACATACTAACACTGCCAATGACTGAAGTTTCAAATCCAGTGTGGTTTAGATGTATGTTTGCATTCAATAGAAAGTGTTTTCTCACTTTTATAGGCAAATGATGTATCTCTGTATGTAGTTTCCAGTTTATTAGGAGAGTGTGTATTTTTTAGTGTATGAGAAAACATGACTCACTGACGCTGTTGTGGTTTCCCCTTCAAAAAAAACCTGAACATGAACAGCTCAAATGTCCCCAGCTATCTTATCCTTACAACCAGGAGATTTTATCCATGGAAAAAATAAATATGAAAGAGTAATGCAGAGTGATTGCCAAGAGAAATGACCATGGCAAAAAAACAAAGAACAATAGAGATGAGATGAAACTACTGCATAAAATGGGATTATTCAGAAATGACACAAGGCCATGATATCATAGAGCAGGAGGCTGGAAATGTTAAGCATCATTCACAGCGTTCATCTGGGTTTGTGAAGATTAAGAATAGTGCCCAAAATGTTTTACTTGACTACACATTAATTTTGCCACAGAAAATAAAAGTCACTCACGAGATGACAAAATAAAATATAAAGAAACCATAAGTTTCTCAGCTGATCTTCTCCCAGGGTTGACATGGATCTATTTTAATTACAGAAGACAGAATAAGGTTTATTTTGTGAAAATACTGCTGGCATTTTATTTTGTCTAACTACTGCAAACCATCTGTCTGACCATTAGGGATAAGACCATAATTTGGGAGGAGCTTTTCAAAACAATTCCTTCGTGATGAAGTCTGAGCTAGTGAGCGGGGATGGATGAGTGTCACTTCTAACAGTTTAATATTCTGGAACAACTGTAAACACCTCAGTTACATATTTGAGGTTAAATGCTGATTGACAGTTTCATGCGGATACAAGAAGGTTGTTAAAAGTTGTTCATGCATTATTTAATATTTTCTCTTTTAACAGGCTCAGTAACACCTTCAATATGGTCATTACACCAGATTTTGCTAGATTGCTTTGCTATGTAGTATTTATTTACCCATATGCTTATAAAACAGACAGGGATGTAACTACACTTCAACCTTTGAAGCATGTACGGGTTATGCTGCTCAGGATGCAGCAATTTTCAAAACCATTTTCTATTCAGTTCAAACCAATCATGGTAATAGTAATTATCTGTCTTGTACACTGTTCCAGGTGTGGACTTGAGTGCCTCTACACAGCATGCAGAACTGCTCAGTGTATACTGGCCTAAAACTGGTCTTTGTTTTTTTTTCCCCTGGAGAGCTGCTCTCTTACCCCTAAGGTTTAACAGGATGAAAATTGTTTCCTCCTTTGTAAGTTCATTCTCAAGAAACAGGCACGATCTATTAAAAAATGGTAGCATCTCTTGAAATAAAGAATACAATAAATACTGACGTTGGGTGGACGTCATTCACCAGACTTTTAATAAATGCATTCTGGTGAACATTTGTAATAAACTAAAGACATACTATAGTCCTAAACCCAAGAATCTTCAGAAAACCACACATGAAAGGGTGAGGTCAGTCCTCATTTGTGAAACAACATTTCCGCACTGTGGAATCATGTTGTAAGTGATGTTTTCCTATTGACATCATTGGGAGCAGGATCAAGTTCTTTATTCTTAAATTGCAATAATTTGTTCCATACAAGGTATGCAATTACCCACTGGATCCTGCAGAAAGCCCTCCATTTCAAAAGCATCACAACAATAAATGTTGATCTCTCAAAGGCCATTGAACCAGTAGCCTTTGTACAATCAAAGGATTGATCTCTTTCGGTGACACTTGGAAACTTGTTCAGCTTTGTCATCTGTAGCTGCAGCATTACTAATTCTCCGCTCGCTTTTTGTGCTGTGGAGTGACACACTGCCATGAGCAGACTTTATAAATGCACGGAAGGAGGGGGAGGCAGGCGGGGTGGGGGGAGCTTGTGCTTGAGAATGTGGAGTTTCCAGTGTTAGCTATAGCAAATGTACTGAAATCGTTCATTGGCCCCTCGGCTTATTTGGTTGTTATATTCTGTATTTAGTTTTAGACAATGATATAGAACATATTTTTATTCACAGGTCAAATTTATTCACTATTCTTTTGTCCTAAATGTCCTTTTTTTGTCATAAAGGGACATCTTTGACTATTTGAACTTCACCTACCAAAACTGTATTAATTTGAATTTACTCCGCTACTCATATGCACCCTACGTCATATCTCTGAATCCTTTCTACAGTCTTGATAGGACTAATCTCATGATGATTTATGTTTGTTCTTGTTTTGAATGAAAATATTTCCTGGGTAAATTCTTCCAGAAGAAATTTTTATGACATTATCTCATGCCTTGGAGAAGAGAATAGGGGGATCTTTGCATTCAGCTCCCACTTTCTTCATAAATTATGACAAACAACATGCTAATTGTTTCAAACTAGGTAAAAAATCTTCCTGGACTTGCATGCTATCTTGGAGGCTAAATTAAAAACATTATCAAATGCAGGCAGTTGTTGCCTATGTTACTGAAAAATAAAACATATTTTCCTCTCATTTCTCTTTTTGTTCCAGTAACAGGACACAGCCAGGGCATTAGTTTCCTTCCAAATCATTGCCCTGATTTCTGGAAGCTGGTTTGTTTATTTTCCAGTGCTTAATCAATGTTCCTGGCCTGTGGCCTCAAAGTATCAATAATCAGTTCTTAGCAATTATCCTGGATTATATCAGTAATGACTACGCCAGATGAGAACAGCTGGTAGAGCAAGCAGGGCTTCACTTCTCCCATGACACGCCGCGGGGTTGTGCTGCAGACACGGAGAGCAGCAGAAGGGACTTCTCATCCTTAGCACTCTGCATCTCTGCAAGTAGGTGTGAGTTAAAACGTCTGCATGTGAAGTTTACGTGCTTTTGGAGAAGAGTAGGATGTGCAGTAGGGTACCTCCATCAAGAAGTGTAAGGAAGGACTAAATGGGGAAGCTTGTAAAAGGAGGTTTGGAGGGAGCTGGACTGAGAACAGGAGAAAAGGAGAGAAGATGCCCCCAGATCCCTATGGGTTCTGTGTATTTTCTTTCCTACCTGTTTATTCCAGAAAATACAGCTCTTGCTCAATTAGAGAGCCAAACCAGCCAAACAGAAGAAAAACTGGGACAGCAGCCAAATCTGGTGACTTAAAAGCAAGTTATGCCTCTGCAGCAAATTATTTTACCTGATTCCATCCTAGAGAATACTCCTAGGTTTAAACAGCATACTGTATGTCAGTGTAGACACAAAACTCAGTCTGTCACGTCAACGCATATTTAGGTTCAATTTCTTTACGGAGAAAGGCAGTTATAGTGGAGTCAGAGGGGGGTCTTTGTGAGAAGCAACTGTTGTGATTTCCATACAGTGACAAAAAACTCAGTATTACGAAATGAAAAAATAATCAAAGCACCACAAACAAAAGTGTGACATGACACAAAGAAGCAGTCAAAATGTTTTCATACAACAGGGAGTCTGACTTTTCAGTCATTTACAATAGTACACAGCCATATAAGTGTATAGGCCAGGGACCCCTTACTGACACAGGGAATGGGAGAACCATTCTGATTGTCCCAGGGCTGTTGGATGCATTATCGCTGTAGCCCAAATTACCTCTAACTAGTCTGATTAAACCAGATTTTAAGTGGCTTGTTTTTCTTTGGCTTAAACAGTCAGAAACTCATTTATCAAGAATGCAAGTGAGCTATTAAGCCAAAATTAGAATGTCTGCAAGCTTCTGTCATATAAAAGAAATGGATTTAAAATGGCACTCACCAGGCAAGTTCAATTTCTTGCCATGTAAATACAACGAGCTTCTGTGGGAAAAATAATGGATTATGAAAGCTTCTACATAAATAATTGGATGACATTGATAATAAGCTTGAGACACTTGAACAAATATTTCTGAAAATCTTTCCTGTCCCAGGGCAAGTGGGCTGCAGAAACAAACAATGAAAGAAAAACATAAAGCTAACAGAACAACCTAGGACCACAGGCTGTTAATGCTACGTCTGTATTCACTGGATTGCACTGTCTAGTAGAGAATACTGACTGCACAGAAATGTGTACAGGACACCGATATCCTCAGCTGCCCTCCAGGACCCTCCCTAGATTTCTAGAAATCTGCTATTATGGCTCTATCCTCTTTTCAGTGACACAGTTTCCTTGGCTCTTTTTATAAGAGGGAAAGGTTCTTGCCTTTAGACTGAGGAGTCTTGTCAGATGACGCAGCATAATAGTATCAGAATATTAAGTACCCAGAACAAAAACTGAGCAAAAAAAGGAAATGTCAGTTAAGTATCACAGATACCAAAAGGAGTTATGTAATATTTCATGCAACATATCTCCTTGCTTAGCTACTGTGAAGATGCAGGCCACTTAGGTAACACTTTCTAACCTGAGTAATTTTTACAGTTTCCCATGTCATTTTCATAACCATATATCAAACACCACAGGGTGGGGTACACATTTTGCAAGCACTAATCCTACTATTTACAAACCTTAATGTTCTTATTTTAAATAGGCATTTCCAGTGGCTGTCCTTTAGAAATTTCTTGATTTAGACATGAGAGAAGGAAGGACAGAAGGGCCGTACTATAAAACTGCAGCTCATTCCAGCCTCTTTAGGTTGCATACCTTATTGTGGGAAGACTGATCAAGGGTCGTGTCAGAACAGTACCAAAACTCTCCTTTATTTGACACAAGTGAGGGTTTTTCAGAGGAGGAGGAGGAGGAGGAGGAGATGCAGCCTAGGATGTCCGCCCTCCTTGACTTGATACCTCACTGAAGAACTGTGTCCTTTATACCAGTGTCTTGGTCACTGGGATCTAGGACTTCATCATATATCCAAGATTTCTTTAGTCATTTAC